GTTTTCCGCTTGGCCCCCCGGCAAACAATCAAAAATCCCCCCGCCGACACTTTGGTTTTGATCGCTGAAAAATTGGTTTCTGGCACGATGCCTTTAGCTACGCGTTTGGTAGGCTATCGTAATTTTTGCCGCTTCGAACGCCTGTACCTCATTATCACAACAATAAAATGCTTCGTTTTGAAAATTCATAAAACACGTTTTTTTGAACTATGAGAAACGACTAGCAACGATGCCGGCCTGCCTTAAAAATTGCTGGGATTCCTTTAAAACTGTGTTTTTGGAAAAATTTTAAAATATCATAATTTTTGGCGTACACAGAAAACACCACGTATTATCTCAGGAATAAAATCTCTATTGTTAAAAATTCACGAAACACTTTGTTGCACGCTGAAAAATGGCTCATTAACGAACTTCCAAACTTTCACGGTTTCTTTTAAACTGTGGCTTTTGGTAGCAATTTAGACAATATTGTAATTTTTGAACCGACCAGATTACCCATTATCTCGCCTATAAAATTTTGGGTTTTGGACATTCACGTAACATTTTTTACTTAATTTTTCTAGCCAAGTATCGTTTTCAAAATCCAAGGGAGTGTGCTTTAGATAGGTTACAATTTAAATGTAATTTACTTTAATGATTTTCCAGGATCCGGGCCAAAAATGATCTTATTACGTAGGCTAAATTCTTTATTTTCCTGTTCTCCGGCCCTGTTTTCCTTTTTTCCTTGCTTTGCCAACGTTTCCATGCTGACGTGCCTTAAAATTGGCGTTTTCTTATGGAAATCAACTAGGTCCGTTATCTAGCAAAGTTTCTTACATACCGTTACTCATTCTCAAAGTCGGAGAATCATTTTGGTCGAAAAGTAATGAAACACTTTTTTGTACCGCAAAAATGCTTTGCTCGTGAGCGGCATTGAAAACTCAAAATTCGTGGTATTTAAAAAAATATATTGTTATTTTTCGTTCATATATCCGCGAAGGGCTAATTATGGAGCCCAGGAAGCGCCTTTCTGAATATTCATAAAGATTTTTATTTTTCCCGGGAAATTACTTTCCCGCTTTCGCTCTATCAAAAAGTCGCTTGCCGGCAGAATCCGTTTAAACCGGGAAAAATTCTAAACGATTTTAATACAACTATGATTACTAATAATGGTATTTTTTTGTTCGCAACGAGTGGTTGCTCAAAATTGATTATCAGCATTAGAAAATCTCCATGTTGGCATTGTCATAACGAACACATTCTTCATTTTTTGGTTCCAGATTTTTTAAATTCACGACTAGCTAGTATCTTTAATTTTCTACGTTTCTGTTGGCGATTTTCGCATTTAATCAAATTTTTACGGTTTTTGAAAATACTCAACCAGCTGACCGTCGGCCCAGATAAAAGCTTCCCCCACCCCACTTCCAATTTATGCGCATATTGGATTTTTTCGCGGGTGCCGAACCCTGCGAAAATATTTTCGCGGCGATCGGCTGGTGTTTTGGAACGATTTCAGATGTAAAAAATCCTGCTCTAAACAATCTGTGTAGACTGCAAAAAGCTTTAAAGGGGCTCCGAAATCTGGTCCACGGCCCCCCGCTGTGATTCCTGGCAAATAGCCAGATGCGGCCGCAACGCGACCGCGTCGCACGTTCTTTATGCCCTGTTTGGAAGGGAAAACGCCTGAATTTCAAAATTCTGACGCTATTTCTGTAATCCTCATCGAATTTTGATCATTCTAAACGTTTTAATTATGCAATTTGAGCAGAGAATGACCGAGATCGAGGGATTGGATGCCTTACAGGGCATTACGACATGTAAACGCCGCGCACTCAAAAGGCGTTTTCGACCCGAAAAGATTTCGGTTTTTCTCAAATATTTTGCGTTTTTTCGCAACAAAAACAATTGTATGGCACTTTTCGGCAGTAACCCTTTCGTTTTTTGACCAGTAGGTTCAATCCCCACATGCGCGAATTCTGACTTCCGAGCCCCTTTAAACTTTTCCAACACTTCCACGGAATGACAATGCATCCGCGCGAATTAGCTGTATCCTGCTCATATCTATTTTGGAACATAAAATTTTAACAAGCGTGGGGAAATCTTAGGCCTTCCTGGATAAATCCATATCATGTTTCAAAACCAGCAAAAAACCCGGCAATTCTACAATTCTTAAAAATCCCTAAATTCTTAAATTCAAAAAGCCAATAAATTTCTTAAAAATCAGTTTAAATAAAAATTTAGTACTCGTCGAAAAGTCTAACTTACGAGCAGTTATGAAAAATTTATTTTTGCATTTTGTAAATGTAGTGCTTTGAATCACTTACCTATTAATTGTAGTAAAACAATTATTTTTTCCGATTTTAATTGAAATTTTTTAAACTTGCTATTTTAAATGAGCCATTTTTATATTTTTTACTATCATTCTAATAAACCTAGTTAATCCAGGAAAAAGAAAGCTATGGAGCTTGAAATGTTTACTTAATTACTATTCCGAAAATGTACGAGCAATTATAGAAAGAAGGATATTTCGCCCTTTTTGGAAAATTTGTAACTAACTGCTTACTGAATGAATCTAGTATACCAATTATTTATTAGAACATTTTTAACATTTTTTGAAACATGTTATTTTATAGTGACACTTTTTGTATAACTTTTACATATCTAGTTAATTCAAGAAAACCGGTTCACCGTGCCCCAAGACAATAGCTTTAATCGTAACTTCAAATTCTTCTTGGAAAGATTATTATCTAGTTCGTGTTGTTTGTCGTCTTGTTTATCTTATTTTACTTTTAAAAGGTCATTATTCCAAATATTCCTAGAATTCCTCGCTTATTTATGTTCAATATTGGGGCCCCGGCCATTGCCATTTTTTCTTTTTTCTGAGACATTTAATTTTTAAACCCACGCACTTTTTATATAACTTTTATACCCATTCAAATATATCTCGTTAATCTTAGAAAACCGGTTTATCGTATTTCTGAAATCTAGCTTTAATCGTAAATTCAAAACACCAAAAAAGACGTTGCTATAACTCGTTTAAAAAGATGTTTCAAAAAACAGCTAAGTCACGAAATTTTGGGAAAGTTTATTACAGACGCAGAGAGTGCCCACAAAAAAAATCAAAATACTTTTAGCTTTTTTTTGGTTACGTTTTGGTTACGTCGTTATATGGATTACCTACTAATTACAGCTACCCAAACCCATTTGTATCCCTGCAAAATTGGCCATAATTCCCTCTAGTACCTACCAAATTTTATAGCCAATTTCCCCCCTAGACGTAAAGAGTACAGCTGCGTACTACGGACACTGCTGTTTAGGCCACGCCCCTTCTCTGGCCCGGTCCGCCTCAATTGTTTACCTTGACTTTATTATAGCACAATAACGGTGCTGCATTGATTATATTATATCGAAATTATCGAAATTGCCCATCCAAATTTCCTTGTCACCTCAAAATCCTATGCAACATTTTTTCACAAATAACGGGAAATTTGCTATTTTAACTTTTTCATATTGAAAAGCTGGGACGAAATGACCTTTATTTTTTTTGAAGATTGATCTAACGCTATTAACGGGTTTTTCTGTTTTATCAGCTATTTTACGCCTAATCCGAATTTTACCGAGCTTACACTCGGTAATCTGGCTTGTTAAATTCAATACAGCTCTTGAAGTCAAGTGGATACATTTGGCATCTAGGAAAGGATACCGATTCAATTAGCCGTACAATTTTTCCTGTAATTACAACATTCTGTACAACATTTTTTTCTTAAAATAGATGCAAATTTACTTTTTTAAAAATTTTTTCTGTTCAAAAAATATTCATTTTTCAAGGTCGATCTGACGTTATTTACGAGGCTTTTCAGTTTCAATAGCTATAACTAATACGAATTTCACCAAGGCGCCACTCGCTCATTTTGACCAAATTAAATTAATTCAATTCTTTGGAATTAATTTCATCCCGGTGTCATTAGACTTTTGGCTAAAAATAATTTAATTGCGAAGAAATTTAACATTTTTAAATTGAAAAATTCAACAGGTTTTTGAAAACTTAATGTTTCGCCTAGGTTTTACTATACGCCCAAAATCCATCTTTCATTCGGTATTTGAATAGCATTAATAAAAGGGCAAAACTTTCGGGGCTTATAGCTATTTTTTTCAGCTGAAATATCGTTAGTTTATACCATTAAAGCACCAATAAACGCTTACTATTACGTCCCTAGTCATTTCTGAATTTAAACGAAAAAATTATCCTCCCCGATAATGCAAACGAGCCTAGCTACCAGTAATAGCGAGCAACTGGGATTGCTTGCAAATCATTCGGAATCAACTGGTGACGCACTTTAGCCTTCCATTCCTGATATAAATACTTACAAACAATGCCCGGTTTTTCAATTTGTCTAGTTATTTTTATGAAACCATTTTTTGGCTAAGAAGTCCAGCTTTATGCCTAATTCGTCAACGTTTCAAAACTGATATGTTTCGGTAAATTAGGGTTTGCCAGGAAGCCGAACACTTTTAATCAGTCTCGGTTTCCTTTGATCTTAATTATGTATTTAAACAATAGAACGATCTGATGTTTTTGCTACTTTGCGTAATTCTGCACTATGAAACCAAATTTTGTTAAAAAATCCCTAAACTAAAAAAGACTTCAAGAAACTAAAAAGGAAATGTTTCGAAAAGCTGCAGTTCGCGAACAGGCCGGGCGTCATTAATATATATCGGGTCATCTATCTCTGCCTTTAATCTATCTTTTATCATCAATTCTACACCGTCTAGTGTTTTCTCAATTTGCGTAGTTGTTAATAGGCCATGAATTTTCCCTAAAAATTCATGAAATTATCGTATCTATAGCTCAAAATATATTTTTGCATAAGCCTTAAAAATTGTATGTTTCGAAAAAGTAGTCTTGGCTAACAGGAATTCCAGCCATAATGCGTATGCGAGATAAGACGTTATTCCATATCCTTATTTCTATCGTTTCAATACTTATAAATTAGGTCTGAACGCTATATTTTAGTAATTCGATGCGTGCGCGGTTGTTGTTCCTGGTGACGACAACCGCTGCGCAAATCCACTGCAGCCAATATTCAGCTGAAGAAGGACTTACGGGAGGGCAGGAACCTGTTGATGTTGATGAGGTTAAGGTACGGTAGAGAGAGAGAGAGAGAGAGAGAGAGAGAGAGAGAGAAAGAGAGAGTGAGAGAGAGTGAGAGAGAGAGAGGGAGAGAGCAAGAGAGAGAGATAGAGAAAGCCATTTCCTATTTTTAGGATATCGTTTGGCATGCAATCCCCTCGTTAAACATTGGAAATGATGGAAACTGGATTGTGCCTTTTAAGGTAATATTTAAATTCTGTTAATTTCCTCACGAACCAATTGAAATTCGCCTTAAAAATATGATGTTCTCTCCGCGTTCTAATAAGGTCGCTGCTACTACCCGGCAGACACTAAGACTGCCTGACGTTCCTGACTATATGTTTTGTCGAAACAGATCTTTAGAAAACTTGAAGGGCTGCCGACGGCATGTGTCGATCCCCCCCCATCAACAAATTGGCAAGTAGCCAAAAGGGGATAGAACGCGTCCACGGCAGAGGCGCGGAGACATTTTCTTTTCCGCGCGTAACCGATTGACTATGCCGTCGACATCCCTTTAAAGGTCCATTTCCTCAAACAATTGTTCGAAAAAGCCTGCCCTCCTTTCGGGGCCGTCCATTTCCTTAAACAATCCATTCATCCGAGTGTTGGCCTGCCCTCCTCTCGGGGTCCGTCCATTTCCTCAAACAATCTCTGCTAGCCTGCCCTCCTCTCGGGGTCCGTCCATTTCCTCAAACAATCTCTGCTAGCCTGCCCTCCTCTCGGGGTCCGTCCATTTCCTCCTCCAATCTCTGCTAGCCTGCCCTCCTCTCGGGGTCCGTCCATTTCCTCAAACAATCTCTGCTAGCCTGCCCTCCTCTCGGGGTCCGTCCATTTCCCACCTCGCGCCGCCCCCCCGGGGTCCGTCCATTCCTCACTCTCTGTGCCTGCCCTCCTCCGGGTCCGTCCATTTCCCAGTCGGCTGCGCATTTTCTATATAGCTTAGTATGATTTTTGAACAAGCAACATACTCCAGCCGTCTCAACTCCAGCTTATCTTATCAACTTGTTTTTGAAAGGGCTGATGGGCTGGGGTTGTCTTGCTGTCTGCCTCTCTCTCCCTTTCTCGCTCTCTCTCTCTCTCTCTCTCTCTCTCTCTCTCTCTCTCTCTATTCTTGTCATCGAAATGTCCGAAAGTGGGCCATCTTTGACCGAAGAAAGGCCGAAGTAATTGTGGGAATGAAAACAGCACAGCGACGGGGGTAGAAATAATATCTTAGGAGACGCTACTACAAATGGAAAAATGGACTTTTTGAGTTTACGTTCAGAAAAAATTAAACTCGCAATTTCTAAGCCACTCAGAACCATATGTTTCATAAAATTTTATAAAGAAAATTACATTTTTCTTGGCAATAGAATCATAAGGAACGGCCTGCTTGCCTTGTTCCGCGCGCGGCCATTTCTCGGAACCACTTCCCCCTGACATGGTGTGCCGTTCTTTGTGATTCCAGCAGAAGTTTAGTTTAAGGACTCAAAATGTAGGAAATGATCTCACGTCAAAATGAAGACGAGTCGCGGAGTTCTACCGAAGAAAGTTATCAATTTTACAAGGTTTTCGGTGCGGGGCACAAAGTTTCGACCATTTCGACCCGGGTCGAATTACAACTCTATTTATTTTAACAGATTTCTGAGGGCACCAGTCGTAAATCTTCTGGGAAAAATTCTCATGTTTCATACATTTTCCTAATAAACGGGGTTTTGTGCGGTGATTTTTGAAAGAAGGGCATAATTTTAGCCAGTTAACGGTATACTTTAATTTCGTTTCTCGTTTTAGTGCTATTTTTAGTTTTTACGATAAAGTTGAGGCCTATATACCTTCGGGTTTAATTGTGGTGTTGAGGCAAAAGTTAATGTTTTTTTTTAAAGAATTGAGCCTTATTAAGACATATTTAAGTGGCGTAAGTAGAACCCTGCTTGGGTTTGTGCCTCTTTCCGCCACAAAACGACTGTTTGATTTATTTGATCCATTTTCGTCGAAGTGGCCGGCGCATTGTAGTCCAATCCTTATTATACAAAAAGCGTTATTTCCAATAAGCAGAGATATATAATAATAAATAAATAACATGGCTCGTTATGTATTTTAAATGATTACGGGGTCGCAGGGGAAAGTTTAATGGAAAAAAGCATTTAATTTGGATAGAAAAATCCTCATGTTTCATGAAAAGTCTGGGCAAAAGGAGTTTCAGGCATTTTTATTTAGCATAGCGATGACGCTTTACAATCTGAATCAAGGATCCTACTATATATAAAAAAATAGTGTTTGTGTGTGTGTGTGTGTGTGCCACTTTGCATCCAGTTCCGTCTGTCTGTCCGGAGGATATCTCGATAGGGAATGAATTTCAAGGTATGTATGATACGTCATTAGGTGCGCCATGGTCTTGGGATGACTGCACACATATCAAATTTTACAAAATCAGCCATTTTCGACATTAAATTTAAGTTTTTGTGAAAGCTCCTTTGTTAGGAAATAATTAGCATAGACCGGAAGTGGCACAGAAGGCACAGAAGAAGTTGTTTTTCATTTTTTGTCATCTGAATTCAGGACAATTATGTAAAGTGAAGGATAAAATGGGGTTAGACGGGGCCAGGTTGAAAAGTCGCGAAGCGGCTTTTCAACCCTGGTCCTTTTTTAATGTTTATTTTCTCCGAGGAGACGTGGAGATCTTGCCAGTAAACGAGATACTTTTACTGGCTTTCAGGTTTAATTTAATTTGGTACGTTTGGCTCCAAAATTAAGCCCGATATCGAGGTTTTTTTGCGGTGTTTTGGAAAAAATGGACTGGTAGTACCGCAATTTTTTCTAGCTAAGCTCGAAGTGTAATTTAAGGTTCCACAATACTTTCAATGTCTTAATCCTTCATAATACGAATTGATGTTTCGGCAAAATTACGGGTTCAGAAATCCCTTTAAGTAATAATCCAGATGCTGTGCGAAACACTAAATATTTTTTTCATTCGAATTTCGATGCTTCACGGGCAGGTTTTTTATTCGTATTTTAAGGTATCCCCCAATTTCCCTAACTATCAGGTTTATTCACTTGCTTCATTTCTTTTTTATTTTCAACATCCGGCTAGGAACATAAAAAATAAGTTTCAATAAAAATCCTAGTAAACGAGCATTTTTTTAGGCACAGTAGCGTAAGGTGCATGATATCATAAAAATGGCGAAATGTATGTTACAAACACCGATAAATTTAATTTTAAAATTCCCAAGTAATTTCTAGGTAAAGTTTCACCCAAATAAACCTCAAGGAATTCGCAATCCTAATCGGCATGTTTTGCAGGTAATCTCGGCAACTCGCCAAATCGTCGCCGGGCTACTGTATCGCATCAATGTTTTTGTGACCGAGACCAAGTGCAGGTGCGTTTTATTCAAAAAGTCATAGACTCCAAGCTATGAAAAACCAAAAAAATTGCTTAAAAAAATTTAAAAACTATTCAAATTGTTGCTATTTTGGGTAAAAATAATTTGCAAAAAGCAAGTGAAACGAATACGAAAATTCAATTTTTTTTTGTAAAAATGAGTTTCGTTTCACTATGGCAATAAAATTTTTTAGACAAGTGTACCAAACTCGAGCATAAAGAAGCATGAAAAAATGTTACCTCAAAAATTTATAGGCCATTCAAATTGTTTCATTTTATATTGGGGCAATATAATCAACAAATCATTATTGCAATGACATAGGAAATTTAATTTTCTTTATGAAAAGTGTTTTTCATAGATCTTTGGCAATAAAAATGAGAATCGATCTTTCCGCGATGGAATAATTATTTTCAGTCGTTCTACCACAGCAGTTGACGAAATAAATGCGACCAACTGCCCGATAAAGCTGGATGGAAGACTCGAGGTGGGCAGGCTAGCAAAGTTTGTTTGAGGAATTGGACGGACCCCGAGAGGAGGGCAGGCTAGCAGAGATTGTTTGAGGAAATGGACGGACCCCGAGAGGAGGGCAGGCTAGCAGAGATGGTTTGAGGAAATGGACGGACCCCGAGAGGAGGGCAGGCTAGCAGAGATTGTTTGAGGAAATGGACGGACCCCGAGAGGAGGGCAGGCTAGCAGAGATTGTTTGAGGAAATGGACGGACCCCGAGAGGAGGGCAGGCTAGCAGAGATTGTTTGAGGAAATGGACGGACCCGGAGAGGAGGGCAGGCTAGCAGAGATTGGAGGAGGAAATGGACGGACCCCGAGAGGAGGGCAGGCTAGCAGAGATTGTTTGAGGAAATGGACGGACCCCGAGAGGAGGGCAGGCTAGCAGAGATTGTTTGAGGAAATGGACGGACCCCGAGAGGAGGGCAGGCTAGCAGGAGATTGTTTGAGGAAATGGACGGACCCGAGAGGGGGCAGGCTAGCAGAGATTGTTTGAGAAATGGACGGACCCCGAGAGGAGGGCGGCTAGAGAGTGTTTGAGGAGTGGAGGACCCCGAGAGGGGGCGCTATCAGAGTTGTTTAGGAACTGGACGGACCCCGAGATTGAGCAGGCTCAAAGATTTTTTGAGGAAATTTACTTCTTTTTTTTTGGACCTACCTATTTTAGGGCAGTCTAGCAGCGTTCAATGAGGAACTAGAACGGGCAAACTAGGTTTTACAATTTGAATCTATCATCTATACATTTTCTGCCGATCGTTTGCCAAAAATATGTTTTGTGAAAATCTAATTCCAGGTGGAATAAATAAAGGACAATTGCTCCACAAAATCTTCCTAAATCCAGAGCACAAAAATAGCACATTTTAAGCCTAAAAGCAAATTAAATTATTTCGTAAAACCTTTTGAAATACAGTAAAAATGCCATCAGCATAAACCCAATTTTTACAGCAATGGGAGATCAGCTACATGGAGCAGGAGTGGCTGGACGTGCACAACTATACGGCCAAGAAGACTGCCGACGTCACGTGGGATCAAGTGAAATTGTTTAAAAAGAGTTAGTGTATACTTTAAATCATTTATTGATTGTCTTAAAGTAGTTTGTAAATTTGGAATTTTTTGGGGTTTACGAAAAAATATTGTTTCAGCAACTTAGAAGGTGGAAGGAGATTTCAAGTCGATAGTAACGTACGGTTTAGCTTGTCAAGATCACTTTAAAATTGCAAAAGTAATTTTAAATTGACATTCTTTTAAGGTATGTAATTAATCATAAACAACCATGAAAGACCTGCTTCGATTATTACATCTCCCAAATCCCATTTATAAAATCAACCCGAAACACGTTTTTGTACATAACAATATCTGGATTTTTGTAATTTTTTGATTTGTATTTTCTATTGTAAAATCTATATGTAAAAACCGGGATTTGTATTTGTTTTTTGTAAGCCTATTATTGCTTCCTTTTCTTTACCTTTTTTTTGCTATACAAAATATATAGGGTCCGCCGTTGTGATGCTCATTTTTAATGCAGTTTCTTCTATAATCCACACCTCCGAAATTGAAATTTTTTCGCTTGGTTTGATTGGATAAATTTTGAAATTCATCGTTGTTGCAATTAAGTGAAACATCGAAAACGAATAAAAGGGCTGAACTAGCGCTTTTTTTAACACGGTGTTTTAAAAAGCGCATTTTCTATGCGTTTTAATATAAAAAGTGGGTATGAATTTGCATTTAAATGAGAATCATCATCAATAACGTTGTATGGAATACCAAAATTAACGTGCACCAAGTCAAATTATTCTCGTAGTTTTCACGTAACATCAAAGTTGCTCCGTCTGAATATGTCTTTTTGTACGAGGTCTTTGCAGAAAATTAACCTCGGATCAAGTAAAATTGTTTAAAAAGCGATAGTATACACCTTAAATCGGTTATTGATTCTTTTAAGTATATTAATGATTTTAAAATTATTTGTTAACAAAAAGAGAGTTTCAGTAAATTATGAAGTCGGGCGGGATTTTAATCGTATATCACCACATCCTTTAACTTCTCAAGCCCGCCTGAAAATTGCATTAAATTTAAATTGACATGGTATTAAGTTATCTATATGACATGGAAAGCTGTGGAGAAGGAATTAAGCCAAGAAACGCCAGGTCTGTGATGTCATTCTTTCAAACAGCATATTTTTTGTTGCCGCGATTCTTGAAAGTTAAGGTTTGCTGAATTGTTTTGGCGCATATCAAAACCAGCACTGCGGAACAAGCAGGTAACTTTGATGAAACATTGATTTTTGCAACTTTCTTAGTGCGGTAATTTGGAATATTGACTCGTAATCTAAATAGTCTAAACTCAGGCTAATGTTTTGGTTTACTCTTTTTTTCAATCAAGATTGAGTTTTTTTTTAAATTGAGATTGTTGGAAATTTCTCGGAGCCTTTCGGTAAATGTTTCAAAACTTTCCTAACCATAAAATTAGGTGAAACACTTAATCCATCTGAAGCTTTTTCGGTTTTTCGGGTTTTATATAGAAAAATTCAAAACCTTACCATGAATTTTAGCGCTTTTTTCAAACAGACGTTCAGAAGATTCGATAGATGCGCAGATTTTGACAAAGAATTAATGCAAAAAATAGAATAACAACAAAATAAACACGTTTTTAATGAAATTTTTGATCCGGGGTTTCGGTTAGGCTTTTTCTAATGCCGTAATTTCTTTAGATATGCCTATATTTATGTTTTTATATGTTCTTAGGGACTGGACTTGCACATGCCCCCTACACTTTCAGGAGATTAACGCCAGAAACCCCAGGCGGCTCTTTCAATTTTATGAAGCAGGTTATTTTTTTAAGTCAGATTGACCCCTTTTATTAAGTTGTCTAGATATTTTTTGTGTGAATAAATCAAATAACACAAAAAAGTCATGAAAAATGCGTATAAATTGCAATGTAAAGTTAAAATTGTCAGAGTGGAAAAGAAATGGCATCAATAATCAACCGATTGCCAAACCAACGGAACGACAATCGAGTCATTTTGATGAACCTTGTTTTTACAACATTGCTAGTGCAGTATCCTAAAATGATGACGCTTAACCTAAATAATTTAAATTCGGGTTTACGCCTTGGACTATGTTTTAGTCAATATTTTGAAATAGGGGTTTTCGCATGTTGCCGAGATAGCGAATCAAGCGAATAGTCAGTAAATGTTTCAAACTTAGCCCAAGACATAAAATTTCGTGAAACAGTCAATCCTTCTCTTCCCTTCCCCCCCTCCGTGCGCCCCTCCCCCTAATTTACCCTAAAACCTCGTGTATAGGCCCGGTACAATTTCGTTCCGTACGAATACAAATGACACCAAATAATGTGCGTAGGGCACAATTCGGCCCAAAAGCTATGTAAGCCAAAAGAGCCGGTTCTCGGGGCTTTTTCTTTCTTTCATTAAACCACTCAAATTGTTGGAAATAGTCGAAATCCCATATTCCATCAAAATTGCAAAAATACTAAGAGCGGCATTATTTGCAAGAAACCGAAAAAACGAAACACACCTAATGACGTTCATACGGAATTACGGACGCTCCGTACACGTGAAAATTTTCACCCGGAACTATACACGGGGAGGACCTATACACGAGGTTTTAGGGTAAATTGGCTGTAAAAGGCCGTTCGCGATTGACGCGAACGACGCCTGGCGCCGTTTTTCGACCTTGTTTTTTGACGCCATCGGGAGGAGCATGGTCGAATTCGTAAGCGGGCACCTTTTTGAGAGTTTAAAATCGCATTTTCGTGGTTAAATTGACAAGGAGTGCTTTTTTTGAGTCATCGGCAAAACCTTACGAGACCTAGCTCATTCGATAGAGGATTCGATTCTGAACAAGACCCCGTTGTTCTTTTTTGCGGAATTGCTATCCCTGATTTTATACAATTTTAAAACTGCACCCAAAAGCGTCTCGTTTGGCTCGAAAGGCACTCATGGTAAGAGACGGTCACTAGTATTCTAATTTTATAAAATCAGATAGATGCGCAATAAATTTAAAGTACCAATTTGCAAAGTGAAACAATTGATCTTATTTTCAAAAACTGTGCTTGTATTTGTAATTTTAATTAAGCATATGTTTCCCGATATTTTTTAATCTATACCTTGTTTATTGTGTAATTAAGTGCAACTATTTTTTTAATGTAAGCCCCGGAGAAGACTTATATTAATTCAATATTTCCAGCCTCATCTAACTATCAACTTTTGTCAAACAGGCATTTAATTTGAAATTTTCGAATTGTGGGAAGCATTTTTTCATAAAATTTCATTAAAACGCAAATAAATAAATTTTCAATAAAGCGCTACGTTAGATGTCAAGATTGCGTAATAGATTCAAACCATTTAATATGCTAATTGGCGTTCTATTCAAAACTATAAAAATTTATGAAGCAAATTGGTCCTTGGCTTACTACACTCCCAACTCCCAGGGCCAGCCATAAATTTTTTGAAATACACTTTTTAAGTACACTAGCTAGTCTAGTTTTTCCTAAATTAAAAATTCCATTTACAATGTCTGAAAGGCCAAGCAATAATAATCATAACTGCATGTTAAAGATTTATTACACAACAAATAAATAAATAAATAGCTTTAACGACTTTTTTTAAAGGGTCCGAATCTCGTCTAGACTCTTTATAACGTCGTAATTTTTCCTGGCTTCCTCGGAAAGTTGGGCGTTTCCGGGCCGTACGACCAGTCGCGTCTGGCAGCCGGCCGAGCGGGCGGCTTGAGCTTCTGAAATTATATATAGAGATGGGGGCTTTAAATGGTTTTAAATGTTTTATGTATCTGGAAATTTGTAAAAACTTAACGAAAAATAAAAATTCACATGTATTTGGTCTAAATTTTCATTAAAAACTGGCTGATCATTATGATTTATATGCCTTTAATGCAACTAATTACGGGTCAGAAAAGCGGCACGAACAGCGATCAAAGAGGAAGCATTATTCGTTCAAAACTTGCTTCTTGCCAGACCATGTTGTGAAACATTTTTTAGAAACCGACCGAACCGACTAATCGATTTTTTATCTAGACAAATCAAAGTTATTTGTTCTTAGAATTTTTAACGAGTTTTAAAACATAAGCTATTAAATCAGGAGACAGCCAAAAATCAACCCCGGTACAATATTTTTACTCGTTATTTTAACTGGGATTCCTTGATAATTGTTTTTCAAAACCTTGCTGGTTTTAGGATAATTTTTGAAACATGCTATTTAAAATAATGTAAAACGGCTTTAACACATATTGGCTGACAGGAGAGAGAGAGAGAGAGTGAGAGATAGAGCGAGAGCAGGGCGCCTTACCTGCTTCCACATCCGTCAGGAACAAAATATCCGCAGCTGGGGTCCCGATTTCTTCCGAAATCTTCTGATAACTGGTGGCTTCTCCCTTCAACCCGACGTGCGTGTCGAAATATCCGGAGAGAAGCTGCAAAAAACTTCCTTTTTTACTTTGGTTATGAATTACATTGGGATTGCAGTTGAATTACGAGGGGCATTTCTGGCGTTATCCCCAATTTTGTTAAAACATTGTTTCGGTCATGGAATTATTTTCCTCAGATAATCTCTGCTCGCCCCTCCCATCCCAACACCTAGCCTCCCCCGCGTCATTTCCCCCCATCCTCAGCTGCCCCCTCTGGGTCTCCCCATCTCTGTAGCCTGCCCTCCTCACGGGGTCCGTCCATTTCCTCCTCCAATCTCTGCTAGCCTGCCCTCCTCTCGGGGTCCGTCCATTTCCTCCTCCAATCTCTGCTAGCCTGCCCTCCTCTCGGGGTCCGTCCATTTCCTCAAACAATCTCTGCTAGCCTGCCCTCCTCTCGGGGTCCGTCCATTTCCTCAAACAATCTCTGCTAGCCTGCCCTCCTCTCGGGGTCCGTCCATTTCCTCAAAGAATCCATGCTAGCCTGCCCTACCTTTGTTATATCGCCGTTGACGGAATTCTGGAAGAGCAGCTTTTGGGCGTGGACCGAGCCGGAAGAGTAGATGTAGATCCTTCGGCCAGATTTCTGCACTTCCTCCAAAACTGGTACGACATCTGGGTAGAGACTATAACAATTGGTTAAGTCTATTTAAATCTAGACAATTGTGAAAAAATCTTGAAAACCAATAAGTTTAATTTTCGATGTTTCAAAATTATTGAAAAAAAAACGCTAAAATTTGGCGCATTAATAAGAAAAAAAAGGCAAGGAGGGTCCAAAAATTCTTAAAGGCGTCAACTTTACTGGGCTGGTACCCGGGAAAACATGGACGTAGGCACAATGCCCAAACAACCCCCATTACGACACTATTAGAGATCGAGGAAATGAGGCGACGGAAAACGCAGAGGTTCGACCCGCCGCGGAAATTCTTTTGTTTTTTGGCGCCCTTAAATAGCCTTGCCGGCCCTATTAAAATAAACTTACTGGCCCTTGACGGCACCACTTTTGTAGGCGTCCTCCCAGATGAGGCCTTGCAACGTTTTCATCGGGGTCACCTAGAAAAATAAGATAATTTCTTGAATTAATTGATATAAATAATTTTTTTTGGCATTTTAATGTAGGTAAAACACCTTATTTTTTTTGTTTGAATTTTAATTCATAATTATTTTCGGGATTGATGAGTTAAAACTAATAAAGCCCTTTATATCTTTTTAGATCTTAAACAACGTTTTATGAAAGAATTATAAGTTTCAAAAAATACAGGGTGTCCCAAAAAAACGACCCATCTGGTATTTCGCCGTGTTACATCCAATCGGCCCCAAATTTGGACCAGAGGTGTATCAGGTTAGACCAGAGGTGTATCAGTTTTAAAGCTATAACAAAAATAAACTTTCTTTTCCATTTTTCATAGGGTTTCCGTGGAGTTAGACCCCCTAGACATTAAGTGAAAATGATTCGGTAGGCCTTCTTTAGCTGTAAAAATTTTTTCCGGACCAGAATTAATCAAACAATCGTTGAATTAAACGATTTTTACAACACAAAATTACCCAAGTTCTTAAGCGAAATTAGGGATTCGCAGCCGGAAGTCGATGCAAATCGATGCAAAGTCCAAAAAGATAGCCTAAAAAAACTGTTTAGATTTGCGTCAAAAACAGTATTTTCGTTATAACTCGAGAACTGCTGTAGCTACGGGGCTAAAAGTCAGGATTGTTGTTATTTAGGGTCTGATACACCTCTGGTCTAAATTTGGGGCCGATTGGATGTAACACGGCGAAATGCCAGATGGGTCGTTTTTTTTTGGGTCACCCTGTATATGGTCCTTATTGTAAGATTAAAATTCAATGCAAGGGATCCTTAAGGGCTTTGATAGCGAATATAGAGCGTATTGTTGCGGCTAGTGTAATCAAGTGTAAATAAGTGCTTTAAGGAATTAATTAATTGCTGTGTTTGGGCACTATGCAGGAGAATATATTTACAGCACTACGGACTCGTAGTGCTATACTGTTGTTAGGCCTAAATTTAGCATTCTTTGAAACGCATTTTTTCGCCATAAAAAGAAAATTGCTGTAGATCTTGCTCCCATGCGAAAAAGTCATTCTTAAAACCCACCACCAGAAGTGGAATAGCAACACGGGGAAAAAGGTACAAATTAATCTCTAACTCAGACAGCGGAAGTTACAAATATTAGCAACACATTTTTTCGCAAGAAAAAGTTCAAAAATTCGATACAAAGTGTGTGTCAGTTTTTGTAATCTACGATGGCTTAGAATTGGCTGCACATTTTTGGTAGTCTTGGTGGTAATAGGCGGATTAATTACTATATGCTAAAAATCCATTTTAATGAGGCAAAAATTAACATGTGCGCGTCGCGATCATCAATAGTTCTTCCTAAATTTCGCTAGCATTCGAAATGTTTGAAACATATCTTTTTTATGGAAACTGCAGAAATTGGGCGACATGAAACTGCCAATTACGACAAGTTTCAATTCTGGCTAAGTATAAAGCTATGAGAAAAATAAGATTTTTTATTAAGTTCTGATATCGGCGATCCTTGCTAGTTAATAAATTCTTCTCGCCAACCACAATGTTTCAAAATATTATCGGGGTAAATCAATTTTTTTTCACAGCTATTCGACGTTAGCCATCATAAGTTTCGCTATTTAGATTTGGATTTTAAAAACCAATAATTAAAAAATGTTTCATCAAAATTATTGCTTCGTTTTGATAACTATCGGACAATCGGTTTTGCGATTAATCGATGAAAAAGTAATGTATATTTTGTACCATATTTGTACGTAATATGTAGTACCATAATAAATAAATAAATAACATTACATAGCACCGAATAAATCAAAAGCAGATTTTTGGACAATTTCCGACATCGTCATTTAAAATTAATCTTCATAAAATCTGTTTCAACATATTATTGGGGGTAAATTAGATAAACAAAGCTATTCGATTTTGACAGCCATCATAAAAAGGCAAAAATTTAAAATTAACAATTACAAAAAAATGTTTCGCCAAAATTATTGTTTGGTTTTGGTAACTACTGGGCAATTGGCCATAGAATCGAGCTACGTAAAAATTTCCCCACCTTTTTGTCGACGTCAATCCAGTGGCGCACGTTGTGCACGAGATCTGCTACCGTCTCCGCTTGCGAATTTTGTCTGTAAACGAACAATAAACAATATGTTATTGATAGAAATAATTAAATAATAAAACAATATTGCAAAAAATTGGCTCAGTCTCTAAAAAACGGAATTTAAAGCCGCCGGCAGGCCAATGAGCTTGTTAAAAATGTGTTGCGAAAACGCGCCCAAAACATTAGCGGTACAATGTTTCAGATAGTTAGGTGGTTCACGTAAGATATTTGTTGTCAATGGGGAGCCGCGTTTTTTTATTCTAAAGCGATTTGTTAGCGCATAGTATAAAATTTGTGGCAACTGGGTTTCCTCTTAATTTCGCCGCGCCGCGACACGCCACGCACGCGCACATCTTTCCCTAGGGTAATGGATTACAGCCCGTTCGATGCGGCCAAGCTGCTGGTGCGTTGCGTGTCGCGGGTCCAGCACACAAAAAAGCGCACAAAAAATCCACATCCGTTTAAACTTTGTTTAAAGAAAAAAGGCAACTCCCAGCAGCCGGAAAGATAATTTTCTTTTGCCTTTTTTAGATTTTTAAATGTTCTTCTTTTAATTAAAATAGGCAATTAATTTTAATCTGAATTAATTGCGTATTAATTTAATGGTCTTAATATTTTCAATATTAATTTCATGTGTTAATTTCAGTATTTTTTTAACAGTCTAAAACCCGATCAGAAAAAATTTTGGGGAAATGCGAAAAGCGAAAAGTCAAATTTTCTAAAATCTAATTTTAAAGGGACTCGAGGGCAAATAGGCGCCAGAATTTGTATTAAAAATTTCGAGAATATTTTAAAGCCACATGCCAGCCAAAGCTCAAAAAGTATATTGAAATTTCTACAACCCGACCAGGAAACGCTTTTCGAAATGCAGCCCGCGATTTAGAAGAAAGTGTTTCGGATAGTTTTGCTTTCCAGTAGAAAATACTGGTCGCAATAGGCGCAGGCCTTCCACTACCTACGGATTTCAAAAAAGCGCAAACAAGCAGCAGCTAATTATTAAATGAAGATAGAAAACTAGAAAGATATAACATTCAGTCGATTTTGGTTACGAAATTTGTAAAAAAAGTGTTTTAAGTAATTTCGAACCCCCCGTAAAAATTTTTGAGATAATTGGCACATATAAATGAGATATTCTCCGGATCCTGAGCTAAATGAGCGGTCAAGTTATAAAAATAAATTTCTTTGGGTCTGGATTATCCATGAACCTTTGTCACGCCCGCGACACGCAACGCGTCAATCGCCTTTTCGTAGCGTAATGGATTACGGCCCGGTCACCCGTTCTGCGGCTGCGGCAAGTAGATAGGAAATTCATAGCTGACAAAATCTGCAACTGTTTCTTTCAAGTTTTTGTGGAATCCATAGTAAGCAAAATCGAGGGCTTGCCTTGCCAATCCCTTTAAAAACGACTTTCCAGGTGAAGAATTTGTGAGTAACAAATTCACTATTAAATATCGACTATACAATATTTAGGTACTTACCGCACTTCTTTCACTTCCGAATCCGCGGCTGATAGCTCTTTAGACACCTAAAATTAAAATAGGGACGATCGATTGTTCAATCATTCCTTTACATTTGAAATGCCTGGCGAATCCCAATTCACAGGTTTAGCTTGGGCTTATTAAGACTTTTTTCCGAAACACAGATTTTCCAAAATTCGAATTTACCGTTTTGCGGAAGTTCTCGTTCCAAAATATTAATTTTCATACCGTAACCATTTCCCGGATGCAATCCTGGACCGGCTGCTCATCAAAGTGCTGTGTCAAAAAATTTTCCACATTTTTGTAGGCGTACGGGAAGAGCTCGTCCTAAAATAGAATGTTACTTTCCTCAAACAATCTCTGCTAGCCTGCTTCTGCTTTTCGCTGGATCGCACAAACAATTAAAGTTCAAAATGGTCCCAAAAGCGGAAAAAAATCAAGAAACATTTTATGAGAATTTAGGGTTGCACGTTAATATTCTTTATTTTCTTAAAAAATTTATCTGTATTTTGAATTGTACCAAAGCCCCACGAATTGGATTTTTTAAAGCTATAGTTATGAAAAATACTAAAACAATAACGTCACATAAAAACAAAAAAAAATCAACAAAAAGTCAATTTTCAAAAACCGTTAGTGAGTTTCAAAAGGTTTAATGTTTCAAGAAAAGGCGAGTTAACATAAAATTCATTTCATATAATTGGAAGAAGTGCGAGCGGATAAAAACGAATTAAAAACAGGTTACCTTAACAAAAGATATCGACGTGATCGTGCCCTCAATGTCGAGCAGAAGCGCCTTGAATTTCGCCATCTATAAAAATGTGTGTATTTAAACTTATTAAACATTTTTTTGGAAAAATTAAACAGAAAACAGCAGGCAAAAATTCGAATATTCGGCCGTTATCTGGCTTATCATTTGGGTGACCTTTCCCCGGGGGAAGTCGGGGGTCAATTTCGCGCCGTAACGCTCGATGGCATACGGTGGCCGGGGCGCCGTTTAGGGGACGGAAAATCAAAAAAATTATCGCGATTACGGTAATGATTTGAAAATTCGCTACCATATTGTCGTAAATTCGTAGCGTTCAAATTTTAATATGTCGAAATTCATAACATCGAAATTACAAAATATCGAAAACTTGCAGGTTTCTTTGCAGATGTTCCAGGAGATTCGTTCATGTAAAATTCGACATTCTACAAGTTCGGCATTCTGAGATGTTTTTATTGATTTTATTTAAACGAACCATTTAAAATGCCTTTAAAAACATTAAGGAAGGCAGTCGGCATCTAATTACCGGCTCATTCCAGTTGTCTTGCTTGCAGAAGTTAATGTAAATTAGCCCGTATGCAACCCCGAAAAGCCGGAAAATTTTAAAAAACAGCTTGTAAAAAAGCGCGTTTAAATGAAAACATGGTTTTGAAAATTGTTGCAAACTGAGCGTTTCAAAGGGCTTTCGGATGGGGTAACTATCGTTCCGATCCGATACTTCTGTTCCGTGTTAGAGGGGGTGTTTATGTTATCGTTCTCTTTTAAAGAAACATCCAACCCAGATTTTTATGAAAAAGCAAAAAGCGCGTCACGGCCGGGGGTCGAACCCGGGCCTTGCGCGTGGCAAGCGAACACATAACCAATGAGCCAACCGGCCAATGTGATCGGGACAGGACAGGACCTCTTCCCTCCAAGCGGGCCACAGCCACGCGTTAGGAAACAGACCCTGCCGCGTGGACCGATTTCATAAAATTGGGAGGTGAGTGTTTCTTTGAGTGTTTTGATTTCTCTATTTTAACACACTACACACACACACTCCAAAAGGAAATAATGGTGTCGGTATAACCGAAATTTGCAATTGCATGCAAAAAATTTGGAGTTGCTTGCACCAATTGGCATCCATTTTGACTCTTCGGTGATTTGCATCAGCGGGATTTTCGAAATTCATTCTCCGTTTTCTTCCTCAACGAAGTCGGCTTCTCATCTCCTCTCATCGCCTGCTCGTTTCCTTCTTTCGCGATGGTGCCAGCTTCCGTGAGCGCCGACCGGGTCAGCGTGCAGCCGAAGCAGTCCAAGACGAGCACCACCACCGCCAACACCGGCGGCAGCAGCGGCAATAGCGGGTAATTTTCGGAGCTTGAGCTTCCGTTAGAGTGCAGCCCCCCGTCGCCCAACCCTTGTTTCTCGGCCCCTTGTTTATCTACAGGTGTGTGAACTATACCAAAATGTTCGTCTTGCTCTGACGAGTATTTTGGTATACTTTACACACCTGTAGATAAACAGGGAGCCGAGATACGGTAAGTGGGGTCGGTGGGGGGAGGGGGGAGGGGGCGAGGGGGAGCCGCCCCCCGAAATCGGCCGAACGCCGAAAAGTTCATAAGGGGGGACCCTTATGATTTAATTTTTCCAAAAAATTTGGTAAGACTCTAGTTTACCCCCCCAACCCCCTTTTCTCTGCGCCCTCTCCCCCAGGCCTACTATCTCTTCACCTGCGCCCTCTCCCCCAGGCCTACTATCTCGCCTGGGGGGGTAAACTAGAGTTTAGCCAAAAATTTTTTTCCTGCGGCGCTATTTTTGTCTATTTTTAACACTAGTTTTAGTGCACGTAAGTCTAAGTTTCTAACCTTTCTCCAGATCCCACGACGACCGCACGAAGCCGCTGGACAGCTTCTACGTCTGGGACCGCGACCCGTACCCGCAACTGCCCATCGGATGCGAGTACGTATCCTTGCTTACCTTACAAAAATGCGGGAGCTATTGATGTTGGGGGGGGGGGCATCTTTTTTTGGAGGTTTTTCCGGCCTAAGCTTGTCTCCAAGTCTAAGCTAACCAAGCCAAGCCCAGCCTAAGCATAACCTAAGCCAAGCCTAGGCTTAAGCCCAGTACTAAGCTAAGTCTAGCACAAGCCTAAGCTAGGGCTGGGCCAAGCCTACGCTAGGCCTAGACTAAGCATAGACTAAGCCTAAGCTAAGCCAAAACCAAGCCTAAGTTAAGCCTAAGCTAAGCCTAAGCCTAAGTCTAAGCCAAACCTAGGCCTAAGCTAAGTATAAGCCAAGCGTACGCGAAGTCAAAGCCAAGCCTAAACCTAAGACAAAATGCGAAACATTTTTCCAGCCCCTGGTGGCTGTGGCTGACGCGTGCCTGGTTGGTGCTCACCATCGCCTTCGCCTTCTCCACCTGCTACATGTGGATCAGCGGCATCCGCCAGAAGAACATCTACATCCTTGAGGTTCCCGCTTTTTTCGGTTCTGGATCATTAGCGGGGGGGATTTTTAGTAGAGGCAAACCATGTTGTTATAGGGCCCCATAACAAAAAATAAATCATTTTTACCATTTTACATACCTTTTAGATCTAAAAACCATAGTAAAAATAATAAAAGTGTATGGATTTTACAATAGATTGTTTTTTGGGTAAGACTCTAGTTTACCCCCCCCCAGACGCCCCTTTTCTCTGCGCCCTCTCCCCCAGGCCTACTATCTCTTCGCCTGCGCCCTCTCCCCCAGGCCTACTGTCTCGCGTGGGGGGGTAAACTAGAGTTTAGCCGTTTTTTGAAACTACAAAAATATATAAATTTTTTGACAAAAAAAATGGTCGTTTTTGTTACTTTTTGAAAATTTTTTCGATGCTTAGATAGTTTTTCTGGCTAAAATATTGTTGTATTTTACGAAACACATTATTAAAATAAGTTTTGTAGTTTTTAATTTTAAGCTAATGTAGAAGTTTTGGAAGTACAAAAACCAGCTTCCGCTGCCAAAATCCCCCCGATACGAGACCAGCACCAATCCCAATCCCGTCAATTTTCAGTTGGAGATCCCGCCGTTGGACCTGTGGATGGGCGACGTGAAGTACGGGTGGGAGCCGGAGCGCGAGAAAAGGATCGGGGTCACAAAAAAGGAAGACTTTGTCCTCACCACGCATTGGCATTGTGGAAGGGTGCTCAAGTGAGTTATTGAGGGGGGGGGGGGGCTCGCGGCACTGGACTGTTAGCGGGGGGGTCGCACAAAGCAACTAATTTTCATTATTCCCGTCAATGACAAATAGTGCAGTTTTCTAATTTTTTAGTAGTTTTTGATTGGCAGAAAATCACAAAAATATTTAAAGCATTACAGAACCGGACATGGTTGGAAAAATCGAGAAATCCTTTTTGGTAATATTTCATACATTTTTGACTAAAAGCTAATTTTGAAAGTCAGTATCGGTACCCCCCCGCTAACAGTCCAGATCCCTCGAACCGCACGGATTCAGAAATCTGACGGCCGAACGTGCCGCGCACTGGACGTTGAACGACCAGGCGATCTTCATGCTTCTTTGTGGGACCCTGGAAACGCCGGAGCGCGCATCCGCCTACGGCTCCGCATCGGTCATCACCTTCAAGTACCATTCAATTTTTAATGCATATTTAATTTCTTTCTGTGGTCAATCCATGGACTTCGATCGCGTGGTCGCCCCGGGCGGCTACGGCACGTACAAGAAACCAACCGAGGGCGGAGATTTCGGCTTGTGTGGGTGCTTGCCGGCGACGAAATTTTGTTATAGTATATTAGTAAAAAACCAGGGTTGAAAAGCCGCTTCGCGACTTTTCAACCCTGGCCCCGTCTGCCCCCATTTTATCCTACAATTTGCATAAAAGTCCTAAATTCTGATGCCAAAAAATGAAAAACAACCTCTCCTATCCTTATTTATAGTCGAATCGAACTTCCGGTCTATGCTAATTATTCCTAACAAAGAAGTTTTCACAAAAAGTTAAATTTAATGTTGAAAATAGGTGATTTTGTTGAATCTAATATGCGTGCAGTCATCTACAGGCCATTGTGCACCTAATGACGTATCATACGTAGCCTAATACCCGTCCCTTCTTGAGATATCCTCTGGACAGACAGACGGAAGTGGATGCAAAGTGGCACACACAGACACACACACACACACAGACACTATTTTTTTATATATAGTAGGATAGTAGGATTCTCCGCGTTTTGGTTCTGGACTGTTAGCTGGGGGAGGAAACCAAGTTTTTGGTTAGAGTGCAGTTTACCCCCCACAGCCGGCACCCAACTTTTGTATCTCGGCTCCCTGTTCATCTACAGGTGTGTAAAGGATAGCAAAATGTTCGTCTTGCTCTGGCGAGTATTTTGGTATACTTTACACACCTGCAGATAAACAGGGAGCCGTGATACGGTAGGTGGGTGTTGGTGGTGATTTGCCGCGGCCGGGGTCGAACCCGGGCCCCCCGTTCGCTCCAGTCGACGTGGACCAAGATCAAGTCGAGCAACAGCACGTTTACACAGATATTCAAGTGAGTGGGGCCAGCTAGCGAACCTTGAGAGGAGGGCAGGCTAGCAGAGATTCTTTACAATTTGGTAGGCGTGGCTGTGTTTTTGTCATCCTTTGTGTTTCTTTGTCTTTGTCTTTCTTTGCGACGACTTCTCTAGCTCGCTCCGCAAAACGCTAAACTCGTGGGCACTAGATACGCGGCCTGCTGTGCTGATCTTTTTTTTGGATAAGGAGACAGAATCAATCGCGTGAAAGTTTTCACCATGCAACTCGAAAGTGATAGTTGTCCACCTGGCCCACTAAACCAAGAGATAGCAGGCGGCAAGTTAGCAGGGGTAGGTACGAGGGTGGCTGTCTGGCCGCTTCCTGGTCAGATGGCCACCTGAGTTCCCAATACCCCAAGAACAAGCTAAAACTCTGAAATTCCCCTGTAACCGGGGGTGGGACCGGCGATCCCGGCTACCCTTGGCCCTGGTGAATGGTCCGGCCGGCCGTCACCAGCGGCAAATTTTTGGAAGCGCCCTCCGGGGCGCACCATTAGTAAGTTTAAAGTGCCCGTAGGGGGCACACGTTCAGGGACGTTTTTGGGACAGACAGCAAGGATTTTTGCCGCGGCCGGGGGTCGAACCCGGGCCCCCGCTCGGGAGACCAGGCCGCATGCCAGTCAGTCACAAATACGTTGGGACGAGTATACGGCCCCTCCCTGAACGTGCGCTTTAAGCCAAATTTTTCCCTGTGAAGTTCTACGGCCCTCTAGCAATATATAAACCATTTATTATAGCATTTTACATAGTTTTTAGATATATAAACGATATAAAAATAATTTTCTCGAATCTTTGACTTTTTGGTCAAAATGTATAAAAATTAACAAAAAATATCGCATTTTCGAATTTTCAAAGATTCTAAAAATATATTCTATAACTTTCTAGCCATCAAAAGGTATTAAAACATTGTAAAAATACTTTATTGATTATCAAAAGGTCGAGATAAGCCTAAATATACAAATTAGTTACCCCCCGTCAACAGGAAAACACCACACGCGTGAGTTGGCCGTTTTCAGACATGCCGGATACGGGTGTGCCCTCGTTCTACACCACCCTGAAGTACATGCTCCAACGAGAACAGCCCACCGCCCATGCCCTGCTCGATTTCCTGGCGAGCGACAACATTTGGAGCCCCGAGCTGCAGCTCCTTGTAAGTGAGGACCAGGGGGGCGCTGAGGTCCGGTTCTACTGGGTCTCCCAGTAAAAAACGGTGCTGGACTGTTAACGGGGGAGCAGCAGGGGATCCTCCCCACCCCCGCTAACGAGCCAGTACCAAAAAACCGCCAACCAAAGCAAATCTTCTTGAACCATTCTAGTACGGGAAGCTGCTACCGTCGAAAGCCGAAATGTGGCGCACGATCCCGAACGTGCTCGCGTCGCCGCTCGCAACCATCCTCGACTCACAGAGGTTCACCGATTCCCGCTAACGAAACATTAAAATCACAGCTTTTGATCAAAAGCAAAAAGTTTTGTCACAGCCGGGGGTCGAACCCTGGCCTTGTGCGCAGCATGCGAACACAAAACCAATGAGCCAAAACTCGTCGTAAAAAGAGCAGGTGCCCCCCTGATAACGCCCTCCTCCCCCCCTCCCGCTAACAGTCCAGAACCGAAGCGTTGTCCAGGAGAAACGTGCGACGCCTCAACGGTGCATGCATGGGTCACCGGATGGCGTACTGGGACGGACTGCTGAAGTTCGCCAGGCCGGCTGCGTACGTGTTTTGAAGGCTTAAAGGGATAGTGATGTGGTTCTGTCATGTGCTGGTGACACCTTTAGCGATCCACAGCCCACCGAGTACGCGGAAGTCTTCAAAGATGGTCAACTCGATGCCTTCAAGCAATACTACCTCAAGGGGTAACTAACTGTACTTTGGCGCTGCATTTTGGCTCATTCAAGCCACTCGTTTGATCTGATTTACTCGGTTCAGGGTCAGAGACAATTTCCCGGACGACGTGCATGACGCGCTGGAGTTGGAATGCTTCCTGCTCCAATTTGACAAGTACAAATCCCCCTCCCCCACCCATGAGATACGTCGGTTTTCAGGACAATGGCAAAGGTGAAGGAGAAGCACGGTGCCTGGCCGCCCGAACTCGACCCGTACATCGAGAAACTGAGGGGGTAATTAAGAATTTAATTTTAGGGCGAAAAATTGGGTTCTGGTTAGAGTGCAGCTTATCCCCCCGCCAGCCGGCACCCACCTACCGTATCTCGGCTCCCTGTTCTTCTACAGTTGTGTAAAGTATACCAAAATGTTTGTCTTGCTTTGGCGAGTATCTTGGTATACTTTACACACCTGTAGATGAACAGGGAGCCGAGATATGGTAGGTGCGGGTCGGCTGAGGGGGAGGTGAGGTGGAGACTGCACTTACAAGGAGTGCCTTTTGATTGTCATCGGCAAATCCCTTCGAGACCTAGCTCATTCAATAGAGACTTCAATTCTAAACAACCTCTCGGCGTCCATTTTTGCAGAATGGCTTTTCCTGCTTTTATAAAATCAAAAAAAATAAAAAGAGAATTTATGCGTCCACGTCGGCACGTTTCTACCACCTGCAAGCCCCAAGGGGAAGAGGCCCTCCGGTCCCTTCTTCCCACCGGTAGACGTGGCGCAGTGGCTAGAGCGTCGGTCTTCCAAACTTTTTTGCGTTGGGGTGGTTAGTTCGATTCCTTTATTGGTAATTACTTTTGCTTTTTGTTTTTTAAAAACACTTTTGTGACTTTCAGAGCGTTTTAAGTATCTGAATAATTGAAATTGGCCTTCACAGTCCCAGAGAAAATTTTGACCAGAGAAATGTTCTGATTTCTTCTCCTACCCCAACTTGGAAACGATGCTAATGCCTCCACCATGACCCAGAAATGCCTAAAAGGTGTGGAAATATCATCAGGGTTCAAAACGCAAAAGGAAACACGCATAAAAGAATCGAACCTTCAACCAAAGGCAAAAAGAAACTTCGTAGACGGATGCGTTAACCGCTGCGCCATCGGCGATGATGGGTGGGGGCGCACCCGTGGGCACTTCACCTAGGGCGCTTGTCTGGCGACCGCAACCGAGGAACTATGGGATTTGCGCATTCTAGTTTTTTAATTTTATAAAATCAGGCAAAGCCATACTGCAAAAATGGACGCCGAGAGGTTGTTCAGAATTCAATTCTCTATCGAATGAGCTAGGTCTCGAAGGGATTTGCCGATGACACGACACACACTATGACACTCAGGATTTTCACTTTCCAGGATTTCGCGCCTACCAAATATCACATCGAGTAATACGTGCATGTATTCAATGGTGTGGCGCTTCTTCGTCAGCACCGATTTCTACGCCGCCATCGCCCCGAGTTCGTTTTTGCGATTTGCTCTCGCAATGTCTTTCATCTCCAACCCATGTCTCTCTCGATTTTAGTGGAAGAGGCATGGATGAGTGATGACGAACGATTCGTGCGCCGACGCCGTGACTTGGCCGTCGAGGAACACATCAAGGCTAGTTGTTTTCGCGCCGCGGGATTGTCGACTTTTTCAAGCGTTTTCCTAACCTTTTAAAAAGTTTTTTTTCCGATTCAAATAGGCTTAAATTTTGCTAAAAACGATATGAAAACACTTTATAATTGATTACTATCCCCACCAAGACCGACAAAAAAAAGTTGGGTTTTTTTAGGGGTAAAGAAGGATTGCCGCTTCATTTTCGCTTAATATTCGAAGGGTCGATTCCGACGAAAACCTTATGAAAAATGGATAATAAAGTTTAGTTTTGTTGTATCTCGAAAACTACTGTAGCTGGCGGGCTATAACTCAGGATTGTGGTTATTTATGCCCTAATAGGCCCTGGTCGAATTTTGGGACCGATCGGACGTATTATGGAAAAATGCGGGAGGGGTGCTTTTGCTATGGGACACCCGTGTAGAACCGCAGATTCCAGGTCGACGGCGCTGACGCGCAGTTGGCGGGCCCATCGTATCCGTACGCCACCAGATACCTGTCCCACCTCTACAGACACGGAAAGATGGCCGAATGCGACGATAAACCGACAACAGGCACGCTGAAGGACGCCGCGCAGCCCGTGGAGGTGCCGCCGATCCAACAGGTAGAACACTGGCTTGGGCTTAAAGGGCACGTTCAATGACGTTTTTTTGGGAAAAAAGCAAAGATTTCTGCCTCTGCCGGGCGTCGAACCCGGGCCCCCCGCTCGGGAGGCGCGGATGGATACCAGTCAGCCACAGCTACAACCTGGCGAGGGGGCGAGGGGCGCCCCACCCCGCAAAGGAGGGAAATGGCCTGTCACAGCACGGGCAGGCCGTGCGCGCGGTCCCTACGTCCATAGCGTGTATACGTTGATAGTGCGCAAGTTCTGATAGGCCGACCTTAATAAGAACAATGTCCAGAAGTTGCTACCCAAGTATGAAAGAAACATTATATTACTACGGCCAGGGCGAACCTCTTTGCGTTTTTTGGTTTGCCGTCTGCGCCAAAGTCGGTGGCTCTAGAAATTTCAATGGTGCCGATCGCAATAAGCGACGGATTGCGAAATGGACGATGGATCTGTATTAATCGGGGCGCGAATTTGCGGGTGCTTAAGTTCTATGAAACATCTATTTTCCCAAGGTTTTTTATTTTTTTTTTTTTTTTTTTTTCTTTTTTTTTTGGGGGGAGGCTGGGAGAAAAAAGGTTGTGGGAGAAATGAAAACCCAAAAAAAAAAACAAGACAAAAAACAATTTTGGTGGGTGCCAACCAAAAAATCGAATGGATTGGTCGGGGAAAAGGTGAGGAATTATAATTCTAGCCCAAGCTCGTAAAAGTCGAGGTTTATGAAACATCTATTTTTCACATTTTTAAGACATGTAAAGTTTCTGCAGGTTGTTTTCACCTTAAAATTTAAACCCTTAAATCTCTAGATATCTTTTTTAATGGTGCCGATCGAATAATCGACATATTGCTGGTTGGAATACTGCAGGAGCTTTATTAAGTCTAGGACAAACGCCATATGCCAGAGCAAGATTTTTGCAACATTTTGGTATACTGTGTTTACACACCAGTAGATGAACATGGTTTTACCAAAACCAGCTTCCCGGTTGAAGGCGACGCAACCCGCTTTTCAATCCTGGTTCTTTATAAATACAAAAATTGTTTCCACCCCCGTTATTCCCCCTTCCCCCGCCGTTAAGCGACCTTTACCGGTTTTAGTCGTGGCTATGTTCCCACATCCCATCGAACCCTGCCTTTAGCCTTTCATCGACGACATGTGCGACTCGGTGACGCTGATCAAGCGCGGGCCCCAATACTACCTGATCATGACGTCGACGGGGCGATGGTTGGTGGTTCCCAAAAAAAAGCAAAATTTATATCGCCCGTATTCAGTAACGATCCGGTGCGCCTCGGCAGACACATCGCGCAGCCGCTGCCCAGCCTCCGTGACTACCACATGGCCGTCGAGAACTGGAACAGCAACGCGAGGTGGGCGGCATCCGGGGTTGCTACGGCACTGGACTGTTAGCGGGGGGATTTTAGCAGGTGGAGAACCACTGCAGGGTGTCCCAAAAGAGCAAAACCCGCTTCGCGGGCCTTGGGCGCTGGCATGCTGCCTTTGCGTGCCATCGGAAACAGAAGGGTCGATTCCCCCGGGTGACGGAGAATTAGGGCATTTTATACACGGGAAGGCCCTCAAATCGGTTCTCGAAAGTAACATCCACACACATACTGGGCAGAACCATTATTATTTTAGCAGGGGGAAAACCAATGCAGGATGTCCCAAAAAAAGCACCTCACTCCTAGCGGTCCGCCGGAAGCTCGATGTCAGATCAGGATGATTTTTATACCATTCGAAAGCAAGCGTGCTTCATTTTCTAAGATTTCTTCTGATTCATCCGAGATTCAACGTTTTTCTGAAAAACAGGTCTTTTCAATAGGAATTTCGCAATTAGCACGCGGATCTCGCGTAAATCTGCGGTTTTCATGGATTTTGAGGTAAAATTCGGTAGTAAAAATACATAATTAAGAAAATGAGCCCTCCATGTTTTCTCGCTTTTTCGAGAGCTTTTGATAGATACCTAAACGGCGTGAATCGGACACGTCTGCTTGCAGGGGTGTTTTTTTGACACCTGTACACACACAGTTACCGCCAAATTATATCAGGTTGGAAAGAAGTAATGGCACAAAAATACCGCTGTAAAAATCCGCAGGAACGTCGTTTGAAAGTGTTTGATATTGGTTTTGTTGATCCTTCGGATGCTCTATCACGAGACGACCTCAAAATGCACAAACTGACGAACGCGAAAATAAAGGTCTCAGAAGTTTCGCTGAAAATTGGTGAGCTTCCAGGCGATATCTCTGCATACAGGCATTTGCATCGATACTTTTAACACCAATCGATAGCCCTCGGGGGTAGTATCGATAATGTTGAGATCATCAAAATCCGAGACTGGATGGCCGAGATATGGCCCCTAGAATGTGGCCCACTTTTTAGACTTTTTTCGAAAGTCCATACATTTGGGCGCTGCAAGGCCAGAACTTGCTGCGTTTGCTTTAGCTCCTAGACCAAAATCCAGAGGTGCATTGTTTTGGAAGCCCTATTCCGCCATCGTGTCGATTTTCGGTGATCCTGACATCTATCGATATCTACACTCTCAGGGCTATCGATTGATGTTGAAAGGTATCGTATGCAATTGCCAGTATGCAGAGATATCTAACTTACAGGGAAGGGCGCCACAGGTGGAGTTCAGAAATACGCTCGCTGCCACCCCGGGTAATCGACCACGGAGAACACGTTGCCGTTGTCCGATTTCGCTACAGGCGCGCGGACCGAGGGTACAGCACTTCCGGAAAATGATGATTGCATGCGAAAAATTAGCTTCGAGGAAGCCTATTAGGCCCCATTGGTATGGAACCACCAGTTGAATGGCCAGTGGTAAGCAACAGCTTGATAGGATTGTGACCAGGGTACGGATCCGCTCACGATTTTTTCGTTTTGCTTTTTGACACTTTTTTGACTGGTCGAGAACCTTGTCTAAATGTGTCAAAATAACCCTGATGCCGTAGCGAAACGTTTCAGCGCACAAAGAAAATTTTTTCGAAAACTTATTTTCCCGATCTGCCGCCCATCCACCCATCGGCCGGTCAGTCGATCGAAATACCCAACAAATTTTTCCGGGCAACTGCCCGACCCATTTACCCGGACCCTGCAACAGTATATGGTGGAACAACCCAAACAACGGGCCAACTGTGGCTTTGCCAAAAATTGGTCCCAAAAAATTTTTGAAGTGGTGGGTGGATGGATGGGTGGATGGATGGGATCGGAAAATAAGTTTTCGAAAATTTTTCTTTTGTGCTCTAAACGTTCATACGGCTATCACGGGTTATTTTGACACATTTAGGCGGGTTGACTGTGCAAAAAAAGGTTGTCAAAAGCGAAACGAAAAATCGTGAGCGAGGCGGTCACCCCTGGTCGATCTATCGGCTTGGTTGCTTTACCACTCGGCCATTCAACTGGTGGTTCATACTACTGGGAGAGTCTAATAAGGCTTCCTCGAATGCCACTTTTCGCATGCGAAATGTCATTTCGGAAGTGCTGATATCTGTCCACAGGCCTTAACCGTAGCAAAATCGGACAACTGGCCCACGTTCTCCGTGGTCGTTACCGGGGCATTTTCGAACTCCACCTGTGGGCCGGTGCCCTTCTGTAAGCGGATATCTCTGCTCTGGCATTACGGTAACACCAATCGATAGCCCTTGGAGGAGTAGATATCGATAATGTTATAGATCATCGAAATCGGGCACTGGATGGCCGAGATTGGGCCTTCAAAATCAGTATTTATTTTACTGGTCGGTAATGCATTATGATAAATGTGGGTTTCTGAGAAAGTTTAAGTGGGCATTTCTGGGGGCCGATCTCCATTCGATGATCTCACGTTATCATTCTACTCCCGGATATCGTTGTTTAAGTATCGACCGTGCAATACACAATAATACTATAGTGTCGCTGGGATTTTCACCTGAACTCTGAACCTTTTTTTTGCGTTCGTCGTTTTTGTATTTGAGGTTGTCTTGATCATCTTAAACCTATATCGACACTTTTCGTCGACTCTGCACTTGCTCATTGGTCTAACAGGTAGCCAACCTGATATGAGGAGGAAAACTGGTTCCCGAGAAAAAACGAGGGCTTACGCGGCAAGAGGTCCATTTCAGCCTGTACAACTACTGCCAGCCGAGCGCCAACGTGCCCCCGCCCGCCACCGAGCTCCCGATGTTCGTCACCGGAGAGCGCATGAGGCCGAAGGACTGGATGGCCTACGTCGCCGGGCCAAACGTCGGGTTTCATGATCCGTTGCAAATTCCTCGAATTTTCAGCTCCTCCAAACGGCCAAGCAGGTGGTGACGATGAAGACGCGGGCCGCGGAAGACCTTCAAGACGCTCCGGTAGGGCCACACAAAAACTGCCGGTTCTGTCCTAAAAAGTTATAAAAATGGCTCAAGTCTCGGAAACCCCCCGCCGTAACTTTTCAGCCATACGTCCTATTAATGCGTTCAGTATCTCAAAAATGTTCGCCGTGTTCGAATTACTATAAAAAAGTTGTTTCCATACACCAAAAATTGTTAGAAAATTTTTTATAACAATTATAAGTCTGGGTTTTCTTTAATTAATTTTTCCTGGCCCAAAGTGATTTTTCGTATCTCGGCTATCTTTTGTCCTACTGATCTGTCAATAGTATCAAAATGTAGCTCTTGCTCTGTAGAATCAGGCTACAGTACATTTGAATCGAAAAAAATAGCGAAAAAAAGAAAATAATTGGGTTTTAAACGCTTAGTACATTGAGGCAGGGCGACTTAATTTTTAATTTAACTTAATTAAGCGCGTTTTTCTGAGCCAGGTGCGCTATAGCTTCAAATTCGAATTTCGTGGAATTTCCGTGCAGAAACAGCGTGCTCTGCTCGCCCAACATTTTGGATTTGCAGGGCGCCCGGTGGTTCACGCTGAGCCAGCACGGGCTGCACATGAACCCGAAGCTGGCCAGCCAACTGCGCCACTACATCCTCAAGGAGGAGGAGGAGGATGCTGACGGTGACAAGGAGAAGCACCACTCGAAAGCCGACGATCCGGTCACGGTCTAGGCGCTGTCCGACGACGACTACGCGACGCTCCAGCCAACACCAACTGCCCCCCCGTGATTGGCCCTCCTTTTTTCTGTATTCTTCGCCTTTTTGTTGCGTGTGTGTTTGTCTTTGTCTAATCGCTAACATGCGATCTATATGCCCCCTCCCACCTCTCTAGTTGTGTGTGATTTTCTTGTCGGCGAATAAAATGTGAGCTCGAGGTACAGGAGCGGTCAAAAAGACGTATCGGCTTAAAGGGCACGTTCAGGGACGTTTTTTGGAAAAAAGCAAAGATTTTTGCCGCGGCCGGGGGTCGAACCCGGGCCCTCCGCTCGGGAGGCGCGGATGCATACCAGTCAGCCACAGCTACAGCCTGGCGAGGGACCGAGAGGCGCCCCACGCCGCAAAAGAGGGGAATGGCCTGTCACAGCACGGGCAGGCAGTGCGCGCGGTCCCTACGTCCATAGGGTGTACACGTTGGGACGAGTACACGGGCCCCTCCTTGAACGTGCGCTTTAAAGGGGCTCAGAAGTCAAAATTGCGCGTGCGGGGTTGGACCTACTGGTCAAAAACGAAAGAGTCACTGCCGAGGAGTACAGCAAAACTGTTTTCGTTGCAAAAAAAACGTCAAATATTTGAGTAAAACCGAAATGTTCTCGGGGCGAAAACGAGGTTTTTGAGTGTGCGACGATTACATGTCATGTGCAACGCCCTGTAAGACACTAATCTCTCGATCTCGGTGATTCTCTGGTCAATTTTCATAATTTAAAGTCTGGAATGATCAAAATTCGGTGAAGATTCCAAAAATAGCATCTGAATTTTTAAATTCAAGAGTTTTCGGGTCCAAACGGCGGCAAAAGACCCTGCGGCGCGGTCGCGTTGCGGCCGCATCTGGCAGTTTGCCAGGAATCACAGCAGGGGGCCGTGGACCAGATTTCAGAGCCCTTTAAAGACCTCTGGGATGCTGGGGTATTCAGCCGCAGGGGTTGCGGCTGGCTGCAGAGCGCGGACACTGCGGCGGCGTACATAGGAGCGCCGCGTGGGGAAAGGGGGGTGCGCGGGCAGATCATCCCTCTCCGCCGCCTCTCCCGGTTGGTGAGCGTGGTATAGTGGATAGCGCGCTGGGCTGTCATTCTCACGGTGCGGGTTCGACCCCGCCCGGGGCAAACGTCTTTTTGTTTTTTTTCGCGCGACCATCGTTCCAGAGGCCCTTAAATGCAGTTTACCCCCCCAGCCGAACCCCACCTACCGTATCTCGGCTCGCTGTTCATCTACCGGTGTGTAAAGTATACCAAAATACTCGCCAGAGCAAGGCAAACATTTTGGTATACTTTACACAACTGTAGATGAACAGGGAGCCGAGATACAAAAGTCGGGTGCCGGTTGGGGGGTAAACTGCACTCTAACCAAGGTCTACGCGGGAAATCGTTTATTATTCGGGCAAAACAAACCTGAACTTTATGAAACTCCATCCCATGTCAATTACGTCACGGGGAACACGATTACGACACTGAAATTTGCGGAACATTTGATTTTAGTGGTCAGAGATTCCTTTTTAAAAAATTGCTGAAAACAAACTGTTTTGTGAGGGATTTTCGGCTTCCAAAAATGGGAACGTAATGTTCAGGACAATGTTCAGGACAGACGAAAACGCCGGCAGCACGGTCACGTCCGTGAAACAAAAAACTAGCATTATTTTTTGAAACTCGAAATTCTCCAGTAAAAAAATTCAATTTTGGCAATTTGTTAAAAAATTTAACCATAAGTTTTATAATTTTTATGAACTTTTTGTGTCTAAAAACTGTGTAAAAAGCTATACAAATGGTTTATTGTTGTGCGGCTAGCCCCTCCCCCCGCTAACAGTCCAGCACCTAAATTGGTTTTCGACAAAAGAATTTTTGATCAACTGAAAGCCATACATCAAACTACGAAATTGGATTTTAAAATGCGCAAAATATCTTTCAATTTTCTAATTTTTTGAATTTCTGTGCCGTACAGTTTCCTATTGTTAAAGAGATAGGGGCGGCATAAGTCAATCGATTACGCGAGGGAAAGAAAATGTCTCTGCGCCTCTCCCCTGGGAGCCCTCTCTCGCGCGAGATCGCCGCGGGACCTGTTGAACCCCCCCTCCCCAAGGGGGGTTCAACAGATGCCGTCCTCATCTCTTTAAGAACTGCGTGGTATTTTTTATTATTTGTTAGTTTTACTTGTTCATTATTTAAATCCCTTCTAAATCTCCAGATACCTTGAAATTTCTGTCGGTCCCTTTCGCACTTTCACGCCCTAGTCCGAGTCGACCGTTTCCGCCAATTAGCATAAAGGGGGGAAGCCGGCTGGCATTGGCAGGGAGGGAGGGTGCCAAATTGCGCGCCGAGGGCCAAATTTGGGGTGCGCGCGCGTGAGGCGGAGGAAATTGTTCGCACCCTGTTACTTACCCACTTACTTACTTGCCTACTTACTTACGAATGAAGTGGCTCCTTCGGCTTGTTAGGGCCAAATTTAATTTCTCTAAATTTTCCGAGGAAATTTTTACAAGATCCTGAAGGCCGAAGTAATGGAGTAATAGTTGGAATATATTGGAGATATGATGAAACTTTTCTTTTTAAACCATTTTTTTTTGTCAGGCAGAAACGGGCGGAAGCGATCCCGAATTGTTAGGATCAAATTTAATTTTTCTCAATTTGTCGCCGAATTCCCTTAATTTTAATGCTTTTAATGCTAATTTTGAAAGTAGATTGGTTATTCGACCCGGGTCGAAATGGTCGAAACTTTTGTAGGCTACCGCAGTGAAAACTTTGTAAAATTGATAGCTTTTTTCTAAAGTAGAATTCTGCTACTTCGTTTTCCTTTTTTGTTCTGTGAGATTGCTTCCTACATTTTGAGACTTTAAACTATCAGTTATCATGCTAGAATTAGAAAGAACCGTCATTAGAGAAATGGCCACGCGCGGAACAAGGCAAGCAGGCCGTTCTTTATGTTTCTAGCATGAAAACTTATAGTTTATAGACTCAAAATGTATGCAATCTTCTCACAGAATCAAAAATTAAAACAAAATAGCGCAATTCTACTTTGGAAAAAAGTTATCGATTTTACAAGGTTTTTGCTGCGGGAGCCTACAAATGTTCCGACCATTTCGACCCGGTTCGAATAACCTATTCGCCCGATTCAGGCAAATACGAGCGTATCTATCCGGCAGAAAAGTGAAACATCATTTTTCCATCATTAATTTTTGGCGAAATCAGAAAAATAATTATTTCCTCAAGCAGTATCTTGCAAAACATTTTCTAGATCTGTATGATCTCTATGAGTTCTCGATTATCTATTTCTCTATGATCTAAATTTTTCTTCCAATTCCCATGAGAGAAGAGCAATTCGTGAAGTCATTGGTGAATTATCATGAAGAAAGTATAAAACATTTAATCTTTCAAGGCGGTTGTTATTTTCGGTAGCAAAAGGCGGGTGCGCTTCCGATTTGTTAGGGCCAATTTGATTCTTCCGAAGTTGTGGCCCAACTTCCCAGAATTTCAATAAGTGGATGACAAAATACCGTCGATTCACACAAAAACGGGTGTGGCTACCCGCGAGAAAAGTGAAACATTATTTTTACAAAATTAATTTCGCGGAATCAAAAACGAATATTTTCTCAAGTAGTATCCCGTTTTAGGTCTCTATATTCTTCATGTTTCTTCATTCCGTCGGCCAGATCATATTCATGCAGTAAGTGGTGAATTATCTTGGAACAATTATGAAACTTTTATTTTCCACAAGAATTTTTGATCGACCGGAAGTCAGTTTTTTTGGATTCTTGTCTCAGTCCATTTCCTCAAACAATCTCTACTAGCCTGCCCTCCTCTCGGGGTCCGTCCATTTCCTCAAACAATCTCTGCTAGCCTGCCCTCCTCTCGGGGTCCGTCCCTTTCCTCAAACAATCTCTGCTAGCCTGCCCTCCTCTCCGGGGTCCGTCCATTTCCTCAAAGGATCTCTGCTAGCCTGCCCTCCTCTCGGGGTCCGTCCATTTCCTCAAACAATCTCTGCTAGCCTGCCCTCCTCTCGGGGTCCGTCCATTTCCTCAAACAATCTCTGCTAGCCTGCCCTCCTCTCGGGGTCCGTCCATTTCCTCCTCCAATCTCTGCTAGCCTGCCCTCCACTCGGGGTCCGTCCATTTCCTCAAACAATCTCTGCTAGCCTGCCCTTTCAGGTCATCAATTCCGTCATGCTCCAAATTCTAATGAAATTTCGGTAATGCCCGGCTGGTCCCAGCGCGACGGCGGTCCGTTTGGTGTGCTGTGGAAAATGGCCATCTGCCATAAATACTTGAGGCCAGCGGGGCATGCCCCCTGGGCACAATTCGATTACATCGTATTTCGGCAGCTTCCCGCGTGGTTTGTCAAGTGTTTATTAGTGGAATGCCCCAAAATAATTTATTAAGCTAAAAATAATTTTAAGTTTTATAGCCCTTCATAGTATTGAAGGATTGTTCAAGTTATGGACAGAAGCAAGCATTGCAAATCTCAGCCAAAATCTCTGTTGGGGAGGTTCTGAAACATTTTTTTAATTCAGGATTAAAAACTTGGAAACAACGTCTCTTTCCTGACATTTGCTTTAATTCCTCCAGCCGTAATCTACCAATATATGGCTCATCTAAACGGAATAGTTGGCCGAAAACACTTTTCTCCCAAAAAATGTTAGTTTTGCAATATGGGCACTACCACGCTTTTTAATTTGTGGTAATTAGACGGACGTACGAATATCTCCTGATATCGTCAGCCAAAACGAAGCTCAGAAAACGGCTTTTCTAAAACAAATAATATTCTCCCAATTTAAATATCCAAAAAAATGTTTCTGGGATAGGTTTCATGTCATTTGTTTTAAAGAGAAAAAAAAAAACTCCCCCCCCCCCCACCCACCCCCCCCAATATATAAAGAACCCAACCCCAATCGGAAAAAAAAAATAAACTTCCCTCAAAAAAAAAAAAAAAAAAATTTCCCCAACAAAATCAATAAATTATTAAAAA